TCTCCTCAGCCCCTCCAAGTAATTCCACTGGTGCCTCCAGGAATTCCTCTCGGGTGCTTTCAGGCTGCCAGCTCAGTCCTGGTGGCAGTGCCGGGCACTCTGGCAGTGGGACACGGAAGGATGCTGCCCTTATACTGCCTCAGAGCGTTGTGATGCTGCGTTTGTGGGTGCTGGCACTATGACACGGGTGTGACGGTACCCCCACAGCCCTGCCCACAGCAGCCCTGCTGTTGCTGCTCCTTCACATAGCATCCCTTGGAGAAAGGCTTTTGCTGTGCTGGCCCTGAGGCAGTGCCTGTGCTCAGGAAGCCCAAGGGGATGTCCCTGCCCGCGGTGGCCACACGCTGGACACCGCTGCTGGGTGTCCCTGTAAATCGATCTGTGTGTTCAGACTGTATCTATAAAGGCTTTTATACCACGTACAGTCATTTGAACTGCAGGACACTGTCAGTCGCTAAAAGTTGTCAGGGAAACTGATAGGGAGCTGCACTGCTTGCTCCAAGCCCAGACTGTGCAGGGGCCACAGGCATCCCTCACAGCACATACAGAAAAGGAGGAGGGCAGTGATCCAGCAACCTGGGAGCTAGTAACTAAAAAAAAATATAATAATAAAAAAAAAATTTGGACAATTAAAAGCAAAGGGCTACCTCCAAAATCTGATGTCCCCACCCAGAACTGCTTTGCAGCTCTGGTTGGGGCTAACGAGGAAATGTAGACCACATCAATGAACATCCTCCTGACGCACCAGTAAAGAGGATCACTACTGATGCTGCCAGGAAAATGTGGCAGGTCATACTAGTGGGTGACTCTACTTCAAAGGGCACAGAGGCACCCTCTGTCAGCCTGACCCAGTCTCAAGTGATGTGTGTTGCCTACCAGGGACTTGAATCAGGAATGTTGCAGAGATGCTGCCTGGTCATGTAATTCGCACTGACTATTACCCACTTCTAGTGATCCATGTGGGTGCTAGTGATGGAGATAACAGTAGCCTGCGAATCACTAAGAAGGACAGAGATCTGGGAGACGTGATTAGAGGCTCTGGGGCTCAGATAGGTTTTTCTTCAATCCTCCAGGTCAAAGGAGAGGACCCTGAAAAGGGCAGGTGCATTTGGCAGGTTAATAAATGGTTAGAACAGTGGTCCCACAGTCAGGAGTTTGGGTATTTAGAAGATGGGACTTGATTTAAGAGGCCAGGTCTACTGGAAGCTGATAGGGCCAGTCTGCCAAAGGAAGCAGAAGAGCTGCTTTGGTAGGAGACTTGCCAGGCTGTTCAAGGCAGCTTTAAGCTATATGTGTTGGGGGAGGCGGGCATCATTCCATCCCAACACTCCCAGTCAGTTGCCAGGACCTCTAATAAATGCTGGGAGTGATGTAGAGCTATTTCAGCTGCTCCAGCCAATGAGCCAACTTCATTTGGAACTCTGCTCAGATGCCTCTATACAAATGTTCATAGTATGGAGAATAAACAAGAGGAATTAGAGATGTGTACACAACTAGAGGGATATGATATCATTGGCATCACAGAAACTTGTCTGCACATGGGGTTTTCTGAATTGGTGAAAGCTGTGTCTGCGCTTCTGCTATGTTCAAATTAGAGAGCGCTATGCTGTATGAGATTAGGAGCTCCTGTCCTCCAGCACTGAGGAGCAGATACTAAACTCTTGTATGATAACAGCTTCCTCAGCATAGAGACTTGCTGGTTTCAGAAAGAAGGGAAACAGATCCACCAGGCTGCAATGAGCCAAGCATCCTTCTGCAGGTCTGGTCCTGAGGGCTGTCAGAATGGGTGACTGCAGGCATGGAGATGTGCCTCAGCAGTGAGATGTGATGTTGTGCTTTTGTAAGATGACAAACAGCTTTGGGCCCTTTGAAAGGTTTGGTTTGGACACTGAACTGACACATTAGTGTTTCCTCCCACCCAGAGGGAATTCCCACTGGGGGTGAACAGAAGAGAGACTGGGGGAAGCAAAAGGCAGGAAGAGGGTAAGGAGTGACTCTGTGGCACAGTCTGGACTAGGGGTCAGGTAACATGAACGCCTGTCCCCATTCACTAGGGCAAATACTTGGTTAACTTCATGTGACTCTTCCAGACAGGGGATATTGGAGCACCAAATAGACACCAATCATTTGCCTCTTCTTCCTCTGAAACACTGGACAGGTTTAGAAATATTCTTTATTTGTACTGTAACAGGTAGCTCACTGCCCAAATAATTATTTGTTTTAAAAGCAAAAAGACCCTTTATTATTCTGTTCTCATAACAGCCAGAGCTAGGAACTGGCACAGTACCACTTTGCAAGAACTGAGGAAATTAGGAGGGCAATTGCAATTTCGAAGAAGCCTCTTAAAGACTTCCTGTCTTTTTTATCTTGCAATAATCAGAAGTGCATTTTATCACTTGTGATATGTTCTCTCAAAAGAGGATGGAGATCATATACGCTTTTTGGCCACATTTTTATTTACTATTGTGTATACATACACAGGAGGGTACAGAGACTGGCTGGTCTCCATTCTACAAGGGAAAGACATGTTTCATTGCTGAGTTCCCAGAAAGCTACTGGGGGGAACTGGGAAGTTATTTCTCCTCTCTCTAATTTTTCTTTTTCTCCTCGATCTCCCACCTAGACAATTAAATTAACGATTATTTAATAATGATTGTTTTTAAACCCAGTGGACCATCATTTAATCTCTAAAGCAAAATCATGACTCCAGTAAGGATCAATAGACTCTCTGAGCTTCCAATAATGTAGTTAACCAACCTGCTAACATCATGTCAAAAGTGGAGTATTTTGTGTGAATGACAAACAGCAGGAATAATTAGCAATCTTTGGGCAATCTAATGACAAAGGTGATACTCTGGGATGATTTGTGACCTAATGGTGGCCAGGTGAGGGACCTGTGAGTTACCTCCCTAGAGCCTATGTGTTGCATCTTGGGGAATTCCACACTAATGACAAATTCTTCTCCTCAGTGCTGGTTTTGGCTGGGATAGAGTTAATTTCCTTCATAGCAGTCAGTAGGGGGTTGTGTTCTGGATTTGTGCAGGAAACTGTGTTGATACTTCAGGGATGTTTTAGGTATTGCTGAGCAGTGCTTGCACAGTGCCAAGGCCTTTTCTGCTCTTCAATCCACCTGTGAGCAGGCTGGGAGTGCACAAGGAGCTGGGAGGGGAGACAGCCGGGACTGCTGACCCTGAATGACCAGAGGGATATTCCATACCATATGGAGTCATGCTCAGCATATAAAGCTGCGGAAGAAGAACGAAAAGCGGAATGTTTGGAATGATGGTGTTTGTCTTCCCAAGTCACCATTACATGTGATGGAGCCCTGCTTTCCTGGAGATGGCTGAACACCTGCCTTCCCATGGGGAGCGTTGAACGAATTCCTTGTTTTACTTTTGCTTGTGTGTGCAGCCTTTGTTTTAGTTACTATACTGTAGTTATCTCAACCCACAAGTTTTCTCACTTTTACCCTTCCAATTCTCTCTGCCATCCACTGGGGGGAGAGTGAGCTGCTGGCTGGTACTTAGCTGCTGACTGGGGTTAAACCACAGCATCCTATTAGCCCAAACACCTAATTTCTGCAGATCGCATACATCATCTTCCATAGAGTCATAGAAAACAGGCTTTGTACCACTCATTTCTTTTTCACAAACTCTAATGTGTTTTAAAATATTTTCTTCTATAAATGTTTTCTTAGCTGAGGTCTGCTTAAATTATAGTAAATTTTCTCTAAGTGATTTTTTTTCCTTTGGATCCATCCATCTTGCACACTGCAGCACAAATACCTAGACTAGTTTTGTGTCAGCTATGACCAGTACAGTAAGCTAAGCCACTGAAACAAACAATGCTTTACCGTTGAAGATCTGAGTATGACTGTTGCACTGAAGTTTATTTCAGACATGTTTCCTCCTGTTATCTGTCTTTCCCAGTGCATTTTGGTTTTGCTTTTTCAGATTTCATTAGCTGTTATTACAGAAACCATATTAATTTACACTGAATTGTAGCTGCTTGTAGAGCCAGAACTTCTTAATACTAAGCATATGATACCATCAACAATACTAAGAAAATTGCCTCAAAGTGAACATTATTCTATGATTACTATTATACTATTATACTATTCTATGATTCTATTTGTAAAACTATTTTCAGATAGATCAGATAGATAGATTCAGAGTTTTCAGAGGTGTGTTTCAGTAGGAAAATCCTCTTGTGTGGCAGCACAGTACATAAACCAGTCAATTTATTTTCCCAGGAAAAGCTCTCCTGAACCTGTATTACTTAACTTAGAGAATGTTAGTAATGAATGTTTTTAATTTGAAGTTGAAATACCTTTGATCATGCAACAAAATGAGATCCTTGAAGATGAAAGAGCTCTCTGTTGTTAGATAACTGCACAGCCTATGAAAATAATGATCACTTGCATTTAGCTACAGAAAAGGTACTTCAAGCTTCGAGTGAATTAATAATGGTGTCATCCATGAAGTTCACACAAATGCCTCTAATGATTTCATACATGAAGTGTCTTTTGAGAAAATGGAGACAGGTTGTCACAAAGGGTGGGTAGAAAGGCCCTCCCCCAAACTGCCCACTGTATATTTGACTTGGTGGATGCTTCAGAATTAACACTGCACATGTGAGGAGGGGAGTGGAAGACCAAAGTGGTTTCCTACACGGAATTAGGTCAATATGCTTACAGGTGTCACCTTTCCACTTGGAAGTGTTTGCTTTGCAATAATACTAAGGCAGTTAGGCTTTCAACTTGTGGATCTGCAGCAGCACAACTACCTGGAGAATGTCTGCTGTTCTGCTTGGCAAGCCTTTCCTCCTTGCATGTAACTGCTTCCTTCACCATTACTACACCACGGAGAGAGGATCCTGCTAGTGAGGCAGGGACCCTGGCTAGGAAATAGGGTATTTTTTAGCTTGGACCTATCCAGAAGAGCTGCTCTGTTCATGTGCCACAGGCAGGGTTCACCCCACAGATGTCCCCACTGCTCCAGAAGAAGCGAAGCTACTCTGGTCCATGACAGCCAAGGGACCATTTTCAGCCTCATTTGCCTCCGGCCTGGCTCATCTTACGTCTACCACTGAACCCATACCTGCTGCGTTCCCAGGGCGGTGCAGACCAATGTGTGGGCTCCCACACTGCTGTCCCTGCTGTTTGAAGCATTTCTGTGAACTGGAACTGTTTACAATTAAGACCTCTTCCTGCTTTTAATGAAAAAATCATGGTTTTCCTCTCCTTTGCTGTTATTTGAGTAGAAGTTACTCTCCAGACCTGGAAGAGATGGATGCCATGCAGGTTTCTGTGTGCATTGCAGGTCTCCCTCGCACCCTGGCAGGAAGCATTTTGCTGAAGGATTCATCCATTCCTCTTATATATTCCTCCTCCATCACTGCAATCCTCTATTTATGATATTTATATTGTCCTCTGAGATGCACAGCACGGAACTTGAAGTTCATGAATATGGGCAAAAAGAGTGCTTGGAGTCAGATTTGTGACCTACCTTTTAAGGACTATAGACTTTATTTTGGTGTAATTTCTCCAGTCACCTGTGAGCTGCTCTACCTTTTCTCCAGCATGCCAGAGGTCCTAACCCCATCTTACAGCACAGTTTCGGAGGAGGACCTGTGGAGATAACTTTGCTGGTATCTTTTGTAGTTGCTGCACTGGAAGAGTGTCCCCCTGGGATAAATCAGAAGATTTTGCAATATTTCTACTGTCTCTACAGTCCATCTACTGGCAAATAAAGTATAGTATGAGCCTAATGCTAGCGACCCAGAAAAGCAACGGAAAAGTGCAGAAGTCTTCTAAAGGCAAGGGCCTTCTTGTACTGAAAACACCCTTGTTGATCTGTAACAAAGAAAGACAAACTGAAAGCTACAGGGGAACTGAAACGACAGGTAATTTCTGGATTTCTGTCACACCTTCCATTATATCCCTGAAAGGAGTGCACTTCATCACCCTTTCCTGTCTGCCAGATGGCAGTGATTTGTGTTACTTTTCTTGCACTCCCTTCAATACCCTGTCTCTCCCATGAAAATATGTGGATACACATACTGTCTGAATATACCAATTGTCCTGGGTTCGGCAGTAGCAGTCATGTTTTTCCTTTGTGTTAGCTGGTGCAGTGCTGTGTTTTGGCTTCCAGCTTGAGAACAGTGTTGGTGAAGCCAATGTTTTCAGTTGTTGCTGGGTGATCTTTACCCTGACCAAGGACTCTGTGAGGCTCATGCTCTGCCAGGGAGGAGGGGAGGCTGTGAGGAAGCGGGGACGGGGCGCCTGACCCGGGCTAGCCGGGGAGGTATTCCATACCACAGCACGTCATGCCCGGGGTGAGGGGTAACTGGGAGTTACCCGGAAGGACACGGGCTTCCGGGTGGAACTCGTTTTCTTGGCCGGTGGTATCGTATTCTCTTCCCTTGTTATTTTCCTTTATCATTGTTGTAGTTGATAGTAGCGGTGGTGATTTGTTGCTGGACTGTTCTTGTCTCAACCCATAGGAGTTGCACTCTCTCGATCCTCCTCCCCGTTCCTCCGGGAGCGGGGAAGGGGAGAGCCCCGGTGCGGGGGGGGGGGACGGACGGACACGGACCTCGATTGTTGTCAGCTTGGCACCACTCACTGGGAGTGAGTGAACAAGTTACCTGACTGGGTTTAAACCACGACACCAATATAGTCCAATATAGCATATATATATATATATATATATATATATATATACACGTATACCACATAGAATACAGTATGGTGTACTCAAAATGCCCCAAATCAGATATGCCTGGGGAGGTATGTTCAAGGGTTTCCCTCTTAGGAGCTGGATCCTTATGCTGCTGAAGGCTTTGCCATCCCAGGAAGGCTCAGGCCAGAGATTCTGCACATAGGCTCTTAACATACTGTAGGATTAAAAGCCTAGTAGCAGTATTCAATGTGCTATCAATAGAAGATGGTTTTGGCATTGACTTCCCTCTCACTCAACAATACTTAATTTAGTAGTGGCAGTCCTCCCTTCCATTAATATAGGCAGTCATGGGAAATGAATCACGAGTCTACCCTAAATAATGCGTATCATTCCTAGTCTTCAGTAGTTAAAAATAGATGGGTATGTTTTGTATTCCACAGGCATGAAGCAGGTAGATGATGACTGAATGCAGCTGGGAATTTATCTCACCTAGTTCAAGCGAGATGTATTATTCATGTGTAGTCAATGACAAGGATGAGTAGTCAAGCTTGAGAGTCCATTAAAAAAACAAATGCAGATCCGTGCAAGCTAAATTGGTTGGAGCTACTTTGTGTTTTTCCAGACTGTGGCTACAATGAGTGGCTCTGACTGAAGTCAGAACTCATGATCCTTCTGAGAATACTTTGGGACTGGAAAGCTGGTGACAGTGGGAGACAGGGTGTCCTTGCACACAGCAATAACTGTACAAAGAGTGAGGCATGACTGCCCATGGTTGCCTGAAGCCATTAAATTTAAATGAAGTATAAATAAAGTTAAACCTAAAGGATTAAAGAAGGTCAAGAGCTGTCAATCTAATATTGGCCACACTGCAAATGCTTTCAAGAAGCATCAGTTTTTTAAGCTATCTGTGAGAATCAGGAGTCACAGAAAATCCACACCAGCAGCAATGACTATTTTTCTTCTCTCTGGCTTTCAAATGATATTCATTTTGCATAAGTCTGAACTTTTCTGACATTTCTAACAAATGTCCACTGACACGGAGACACAAGAGTGACTTTCTGGTAACACTCTTCCAGGCCCTGGTGCAGGAGGAAGTGGCTGCTTGCCTCCTGGAAGGGGCTGCAGGTGGTTAGTGAGATTCCAGGTCAGGCTTGATGTCTCTCTGGAGACATGGAATGGCCAGTGCTACCAGAGCATGAGGTTCCTCTTGCCTGCTTTCAGCTGCCTGAATGTCAGACACTCAGGGATCTGTTTGGGTACACCCAAGCAAGTGTCGGGTGCTTCTTTGTACCTTTGTTGGCATCTGTTTACATAGAACTGTAGAACCATGGAATTGGTTAGGATGGAAAAGACCTTTAAGATCATCAAGCCAGCACTGCCAAGTCCACCACTAATTCATGTCCCCAAGTCACATGTACACATCTTTTAGATATCTATAGGGATGGTGATTCAACTTTCCCTGGACAACCCTTTCTGTGAAGACGTTTTTTCTAATATCCAGTCTAAACCTCCCCTGGCACAACTTGAGGCCATTTTCTTTCATCTTACTGCTTGTTACTTGGGACAAGAGACCAATACGCACCTCACTACACCCTCCTTTCAGGTAGTTGTAGAGAGTGATGAAGTCTCCCCTGAGGCTCCCTTTCTCCAGACTAAACAGCCCCAGTTCCCTCAATCATTCCTCACAGGACTTGTTCTCCAGACCCTTCACCAGCTTTGTTGCTCTTCTCTGACCTGCTCCAGCACCTCAATGTCTTTCTTGTAGTGAGGGGCCCTAGATTCAAGGTGCAGCCTCACCAGTGCCCATTACAGGGGGATGATCATTGCCCTGGCCCTGCTGGCTACGCTATTGCTGATACAGGCCAGAATGCTCTTGGCCTTCTTGGCCCCCTGGACACAAGCTATTCATGTTCATCTGACTGTTGACCAACACCCCCAGGTCTTTTTCCACCAGGCAGCTTTCCAGCCACTCTTCCCCAAGCCTGTAGCATTGCATGAGGTTGTTGTGGCCCAAGTGCAGCACCCAGCACTGAGCCTTGCTGAACCTCCTACAGTTGTCCTCAGCCCATCAATCCAGACTGTTGATATACATCTGTAGACCCTCCCTTCCCTCAAGCAGACACTCAAGCAGAACAACAACATGAAACCTGTGTAAATACTGTGGTCTAAGAGTTGTGTGCCACCCAGGATGAGATTCAGTCCAATGCCACCTGAGATGTTGTAGCATGTCCTGACTGGCCTCTGCCTGCTGCTCCAGGAGATCACAGGTGCCCTTGTAGATCCTGTGCCATATCTGCTGGCCTAGGAAAGATGCCTCAGATGCCCTAGAGTGCTTGAATTAGATGCCTAAGTGTAGGCATCTAATCTATTCCCCTCTGTTTTAGCTAATCTGGGAAACTTCCTTTGTGCTCTGCAGTAACTTCTAGGACATGCTTTATCCAATACAAAGACAGGATGAGATGGTGGCATCTATGAGGTGGGTGCCATGTACAAACAATGGACAGACTCATGAAGGATCACCTTCTTCAGCTGAATAACAGTTATCACCCAGTTCTCTCTCTGAATACAAAAAGGGGGCACATTTGCCAGGAACTGCAGAGTACAGCAAGCCTTGAAAAACAGCCAAAGATGACATGTCAGGAAATTTTTAAGCTTTTCTATATCCATGATACACCAAAGGTCAGAGCTGTATCTTGCTGTGGGTTAATTCCTGCATTGTGTTGAGGGAGTTTATTTTGAGAATAGGTCTGGCAGATGGATGCATATTGTCTTCAGTCTGGTTAATGCTTAAATTCAGATTAGCAAAGGAAAACAAATCTCTCTCTGATTTGTACAAAGACCTGAAATATGGTCATAATATGGTTTTCTGTATATTCTTCTATCAGTAGTTAATAGTTTTACCTCTCTTTTCCTCAGAAAACTACAAGTCCTAAATAAATGCCTGGACCAGGAGTCACCCTGTGTCACAACAGCTGGCCCATCTATGAAACATAATTGGATTCACTCTACATGCCCTTGAGGAAGTAAGAAATTCAGAATATAATTAAACTGAATTAATCTGTTTGGTATTAACAGCACCAGATTCACCTTAAGATGAAATAGGATGTTGTGTCTCATCAGATAAACTTTAGGCTGTCACAGATCAGCTACCTGTTGTGTTGAATGAATGATAGACTCTGTGAAGTCTGCAGTAGACTGGATGCTGTGCATAGCACACACTTTGATTAGGGCACCCTTTGGGACCAAGGGGTGTGCTTTTCACAGAGGTCCTGTGATGCTTATAGAGTGAACATGGACTCTGTGTGTGCCATGTGCCAGCTCATAGCAACAGACCTCTGACCATTCTAGCAACAAACCCAACACAGCACCTCACCTGCCACACAAGTCACCTTTATCCAGGCAGTTCGGCAAAGAAAAGGTTTTAACACAGCCATGCTGTTGGCCACAAATGACATGAAGGGGCTTCATTCTCCACCAGCAGGAACTCCAGATGTCCTCACCACAGTGCCTTTATGTGCAATATCTGTACATCATCAAACTGGACAGTGTCCCACAACAGGCTGGCTGGGAAGTGGAGCACATAATGTGGGGGAGAAAAGGAGACTTAGGGAAATAGGTTTGCATAGCCTGGAAAAGAGCATGCTGAGGGGGAGGACTGGTTACAGTCTGCTGCCTCTTGAAGGGGAAAGATGGTGGTGCATGGTCAACATAGAACTGACAGTCACAGGTTTCAGAAAAAGAAAACCCCTCTTGGGTATAAAAAGAAAAGTGTTTATAATGGGTTAACACTGGAAAATCTTACACAGAGAAGTTGTGTCATCTCCATTCCTGAAGATTTGCATACTTTGCTTGGACAAGGCCCTGAGCAGCCTGACATAACTTTGAAGTTTTCCCTTCTTTAAGCAGGCAGCTGGACTTGTTTACCTCAGGAGGTTCCTTCCAAAATAAATCTTTCTGAAACTTTATGATCTATTTATGCACAGCCACACATACACTCAGTGAAATGGTTACATATATTTCAAAATATTTCACTCGGTGTTTGACGATTTAATGCATAGTGATGATTTAAATGCCAACTTACTTGTATAACTGCCCATATCCTCATCACATGTTTGCTATTCCCACAGCTATGTCAGTTTGCAAATGCTCTCTGATCTTTCTGATAAGTTGCAAAAGTATATACGGTCATCTGTAAAGCAGACTTGATTTAGCTGAATGATAGGCTTCTTGTTTGTGTTAGCTTGTTGCCATCAGCAGTATCGAGCTCTGCTCTGTAATAATCAGTCTAGTTGAGCAGCAGACAGCCTCCCTGTTACTCATCACATATTTACTTCGTGATCAGCATGCACAGACTTAAAGCATAAACATGCAGATGAAATAGGCTCAGTCAACTCTTCTGTGGATGACTGGATGGGAACGTGCATCACGAGACCTGGCATTCACTTTCAGCAATGCCTTTTGCCAACTTCAGTGGTAAAGTAGTGAAATACTTACAGAAGACTTACCCTTGGACCTCGCTTGTCAGCTGAGATGATAGATTTTGGCAACTCCCTGTCTATGAATAGTTAGTTACTTCTAAAATATCTATTTATTTTGTGTTTTGAGAGGTAGAGAGAACAGTATGGGATGTCAATTTCACACATCCTTTGTATACAAGTAATGAAATTTGAAGATCTGTCTGCTGGCAGTTACTAACCCTTAAAAATCTGGAGTAAGATATTATCAAGAAATATGAAAGAAATGATTCAAAGAAAATGCCTATGGCTGCTGCTGAGGTGACTGTATGGATCCAGGTAAAACACTTGCTAAATAGGAAAAATACACAGCTCAAATGTCTGTTCACCCACTTGAGGATGTGAAAGAAAATATTCTGGAATCATACAGTTATTTTCCAGAGGATTTTTTGTTCATTAAATTTGTTAATTATAAATGCCAAGGTGAAACACATTAAAACTCCTAAAAACGAAGAGTAAAATAGGAAGACACAGCTTGTTTCTGTGCAAAACGGATTAATACAAGAAGTGGAGTTTTATATACTTTGCTTTCTTACTAAGTATGGCTACGGTACCTCAGTACTTAAAGGCACCTAGAAAGAGAATGGAGGCTTTCTCTACACAAGGAGCCACACGGAGAAGAGAAGGGGCAACAGGTACAAGATGCATAGGGGGAAATTTTACCTCAATATAAGAAAGAAGTTTTTTACAGTGAGCACAGTCATGCACTGGCACAACCTCCCCAGGGATGTGGCAGAGTCCACATCATTGCACGTTTTCAAGAAGCGATTGGACAGGGTGCTAGGTAATGTCACCTAGATTTCCTTTCCCATGAGGGGTTGGATCAGACGATCTTTCAAGGTTTGCTCCAGCCTGACCTGTTATATTAATTTACAATTCTACTAACTCAGAGGAAAGTAAGTCAGCAGCAGTGTGCACCTGCAGAGGCTAAAGATACTAAAATACACTCTTCATTTGAAGCAAAGTCTAATAAACAAGGCATAACCCAATTTTCTCCTAGTAAGCAATATTCCATTCATCAAATACTAGGTGTTTGATCTTCTCTGCTCAATGAACTTAGGAAAATAAAAGATGAGGACCAGATGAGTGACTGTTGAGATGGAAATTGGTAACAGCAGGACACTTGAGTAGAGAACCTCATTTTGATGTAGGTGATACATTTTCATTGGAATAAAAATTGCTTAAATGCATGTATGTCTATTCTCAGAAAGAAAGAACAGTCAATACAGAAAATTAATTCCAGCTACTTCCAGGGAATAATGAAATTATTGAATTTCTAGTGAAGACACATAATTAACTTTTCAAGAACTTTTCCTAGATATAAATCATAATTTTTAGCTCACTGGTGGTCTGATTACTAGCCCTTAACTTTAGGCTTGCCTCCAAAAATAGTACCTCCCAAATTTTACCTCCCAGATAATATCTCCAGTGTTTGTCTCTCTGATCCTTTGGAATGGTTCCTCTGATCCTTTGGAGGTTCAATTATTAGTTCTTATTCAATATGGCTAAAACTAGCCTTTAGACCCTTTCTCCTAAGTCCTCCTCCACAATTCCTTTTCTCAGTTATTATATGAACAGCAGATACTCCTGTTACCTGCTAACATCTCCAAGCCAAATCTCACCTGAAGATCATCACTCCCAGCTTTACTTCAGCATCATGGGCTCTTGTTGCAGAGCATACCTGAATCTGGCTTCTACCACCCAATCCACATGGCTCTTGCTGCTCTCTTTTCTAAGCATCTGCAACATGCTCTGCTCACTCTTGCACCCCCAGCCTTGCTCTGTCTGCATGCACACAGGCTGTTGCAATAGTAAATTTGTGTCATATTTTGGATTTGTTGTCCAACATTCGTATTTGTCAGAGTGCAGAGGACTGAGGTGGGGCTGAGGCATTGGGCTGGGGTCAGGATGTGAGGTTAGTCTTGAGGTTGGGTCTGCTAAGCTTAGGCAGGACCTGGGCAAGGGCCAGAAACAAGTTGCAGCTCCTGCACAGGGGGCCATGCCTTATCCAGACAGAGAAAAATATTTTTGTCTACAAGTTCAAGGTCCCTTCTGGCCTTCCTCACTTCTGTATCATCTCTCACTGAGAATCAAGAAGCTGATTTCCATACCTGAACTTCTGTAATTCATTTATTATTTTTTCAAACAACATTTTTTCCTTTTACCTACAGCACTCTCCAGACATGGGGTGCTCTCTTTGTACCAAGCCACACCATGTTCTCTTAGAAATCCTTTCTTAATTCTCTGTTGTGACCTGAACT